GAGAGAGTTCCACGCAAGACATGAGAGACATCCGGGAAGAGTGTCACGAGCAGAGAGCCGCATCTCGGGAATACCTCTGCGAGAGATGCATCGCCGCACCTAAAACAGCATTCTAAACTCAAAGTAAAAAGGACGATTCGAAGAATATTCCTCTCTGCATCGTATCGCGATCGCGATCCATAACTGAATAAATTTCATAAATAAGCAGAATTCTCGCTCACGTTTACAATCGTCCCCATAAATTTTAATCAAAGTTAACCGAGATTTAATCCTATGCTACGTTGGCGTTCTATTTTTAGGGTGGGCCGGAAAATCAGTTACTGCACGGTTGGAGCCTTAACTGATATTTATGGAAGCGGTTTCTGCGGGAAGGGTTGAACCGAATTTCCGCGTGGCTTACAAAAGAAAGCAATTAACTGTGTACGCGCACGCTGTGTACGGCTAATCAGAACGAATGACCCGCGGAAGAGCGGGGCTCTAAACCCGGACAGGCCGACAATAGAGCCGAAGGCCTCCGGATTACCTACTTTTAATTGCGAGCACGTTTCACGCTCGACGAAGCGTTCGCCGCGCCGGACGAGCTATAAATTTCCAGCCGGAGCATTTAACCCCGTTGCAACCACAAAACTAATTAGTCTGGCGGTAATTAATCTTTCATCTCGAGCGGGCGACGTACTTGTCGAATCGCCTCGCGTCTAGCGCCGAAAAGAAATCGCGAGTTCCAATTTCTTTGTCGAGACTATTACTCGTTAGCTCACTTCGAATCGTTTCAATATTGTGTCTTTTTAGGAACCATTCAAATGACATATATTTATTATATTAATTAAATTATTACATATATTTATTAATTATTATATTTGGATCACATGATAAAATTTCTCTCGATATCGCTTCGAACTTAGGCTCTCTTTCGCGATTTATTTTGCTTGCACTGCAAGAAAAGATTTCGTCGAATCAATTAAATTTTAGTTGAATCTCGACCTAATAGACTTTTGGTTGATTTCAAGCAGATGATTTCGTTAGCTTAATCAAATCTTGCAATTGATTGAGAGTCGCTCTGAGAGAGAATTCGTACAGTTGATTCTGATAGAATTTTAGTTAAGTCAACTAGGCTTTTTTTAGTTCTCAAAGAAATGGTTCAATCAAATCTAATCAAATTTAATTGAAAACAACTGACTTTCATTTTTAATTCAAAATAACAACTGACTTAAAGAAAAATGGATAGAACTGATAAGATTTTAAGTCCGATAAATTCTTTTATTTGCCATTACGAATTTTTTTCTAAAAAATATAGAAATTAAAGTCTTTCTCTACTATTCAGTTTAATCAAGCAAAGCATTTCTTTGAAGCTACCAATCAATAAAAAGTTTATTTGGAGGAAGAAAGATTTAGTCGGCACGAATCAAATACCGTTGGTTCGTTAAACCTACCAAATGTTTTAGTAGAATTAAATAAAAAATTTAGTAGAGAGCCAGTGAAAAATTTCAACGTTTTAAATTTCACATTTAATTAACTCTACTAAATTTCTTTCTCGATGTAAAATAGATTTTTCATTCGTGCCAACAAATTCATCTCGGGTTCTTCAACAACGTAAGTTACGACGACTTCTGTCGATTCGACTTTATCGCATCCTTCGTCCGGAATTTCATCCGCAATTAACCCCGTCGCGACACGTCCTCGAATTTAATCCCTAAGTGCATTCCACGCTGTTTATCGCCCCTTAATTGACGCGATAAGAAACACGACCCACTTTCTAGCAAGTATTTTCGTGTCGCAATCGCGACATCGCGTCGCGAACGCCTACGTAACTTCCAGCTTGGGACAAAAAGTGTGGACGTGCCTGCTAAATTTCAACTGCGCGAAACTTTACGATGTCAGTGAGACAAAAAAGATCGAAAAATGTTATATAATATATTAACGTGTTTGGAATTATAGCTAAATGCACATTCTTTAAAACGTACTTTATATTCCTTTATATTTCTCTTTCAACAAATTTATTATCGCAAAAAAGAGGAAAATTATTTCATTAAATATATAAGATTCAAGAATAACTGGTCACTTCTTTTGCTAAATATAAAATTAATAATTGTTGCTTGGTTTTGCGAATCTAGTTTTTGCTTATGATTTAAAGAGAGGATTGTTCCTGCAAGGAAATTTTTTCGCGCATTTTTAACGATATTATTCAACAGCTCAATCAATATAATAACAATTATGAACAATTTTATAACAATTAGCGTACTTCAGTAATTACTTTTCTTAATAATTAAATATAAATAAATATAATATATTTAAAAAAATATATTAAATATATAAAATATATTGAATATATTAAATATAAATTTATAATAATTAATAATTAATCTCTAATTAAATAATTAATCTCTAATACGAGAAATCGTGGCGCACTTTAAAAGCGTTAGAAGAATCACTGGAACCTAGATACTTTTACTCGAGAAGAAAGGAAGTCTCACAGTCACCGCGATCCAATTAATCCGTCTGACAATTATCCTCCACGTCCCGAAGCGGAGCATATGCGCCGGTTTTCATGAGAATATGCGAGCCAGAGCGCGGGGTAGCGTGCGATCATAATTATCTGCAGTTTATCTAGGGAACGAAGCGAAGCGGGGGCCTCTCTCTTATCGCGCGCGCGAAACAATGGTTGCGCATCCCCGGTCGCAATGGTGGACAATGCACTTCCGGTGTGCATTTCGCGCACGCGGTGACACGGACCGGCTCGCGTTTCAATTTGTAACGTTACGCTACGCCACCGAGATATCTCGCAACGCGCACAATATCGGTAAATGCGGGTCGATTGTGAAAGGGAGAGTCGTTTCGGCGGGCGTGTGTGTCTCCGGCTGTATTTATTCTGCTTTTACGAGAAACCGTACGAAAGGACATTTTGAATTTACATAAATCAATATTAATGCATTAGCCCGCGCTGTCTCTATGTTTTACAGAGATTTCTCTCTCTCTCTTTCTCTCTGTAATACGATGCCAAAAATAAATAATCCGATGACTTCTTCATCCAATTTGCAACCGTTACAATATCGCGATATTCTGTTATGTTTTACTGACAAACAAATTAATATAATAAATTTCTGCTGTGACAACATCCCATCGTGCCAATTAACTTGGAAGAAAATCCCATTAATTTTCGGTCTACAAGAATAAACTTTAAATATATTTAATATAATTTAGTGTATCAATTGATATAAAAAAGAAATAAAAATTTCAATTCTCAAATTTTTGACATTCCGTAGTTATATTGAATTTAATATTATGACAAATTTAATTTCATTGACCTACATATCTCTATATGACTATATTTTTCATCAAAAGAATTTTTATTTTATTTTATTGTTTTTTTATAATAATCTAAAATCGCGTAAAATGTATATTGTACATATTTATGTAACTTGTCGATTCAAGCTGAGAGAAATTTTTATTATTTATTAAATTTATTCTCGAATGTGCATATGACATAAAATTGACATGTATATATTGGATATTCAAAAAATATCCGATATACAGATTTATATAAAAACAATTTTATATGAAATATAAATAAACGTGCTCACATTCTTTACTGAAAAAATAACTTTCCATTAACATTTCTCTATCTCTCCTCGTTTAAGGGTCAACGAGGTTATTACGCGGCGACGCGATGCGTCAGCAGCAATCATGAGTAACGGAAGAATGCGCTTGTCAAGTGCCAGAGGATCATTGACACGATCGCGTATCAGACGTCCTCGTCATCAATGAAGGGGTCGTTCGTAGTCATCGTAGTAGAATTTCTGCGTAAGAACCAGCCGAGCGATTGATTGCGTATAACTAACGATTAGTCATCAGGGCGAGTATCATTAAAAGCACGTCGATCGAATTAAGGCCGGGCTTTTCTCGCGCGCATTAAGTGGGTCGCTCCTGGATGCCGTTGGCTGATTAGCTCTCTCATGAAGTGGTTGTCGGTATCTCCTTCATTTTCTCTTTCCCTCTCTCTCTCTCTCTGTTCTTCTCTCTTGCGTCATCGTAGTATCGAAGTCGACGACCCAGTTTTTCTCACCTCTGAGGTCAAATATCGGAGTAAAGGGATCGTCCACCCCTGTAAAACCCCGCTCTCGTTCGCTTTTTACACCGTGCTCGTAAATCTTTTCCCATCAGACGAATTTAAAAAATTGTCGCAAATATATTGTTCTCTCGCTTTGTACATAAAACAATCGATCCTGCAACGCAACATCATATTGTATTATATTATCCAATATAACTATTCAATTTTGACATTTCTCGAATTTTAAAAATTTTTCTCTAATTTTTCGATAAAATATTTTTCCCACAAGTCCTTCGTATTTCGATTAATTGTCAGTTGTAATATCATCGTTTTGGAATGTAAATAAGTCGGATCATGTCGGACTCATGATTCTAGCTTTCGCTCCTATTCGACGAGTCCATTTTGCGATGACAATTCAAACTTCTGGGGTAGTCGGAGATACGCTTAATAAAGGGCGTTGTGGATATTTATAGGCCAACACCGCGGTGCTCGCGTGCAATTCAGTTATATACCAGAAATCGATGAGCTTTCGTGCGCGCACGCAGAGGGATGGCATACTTTCTCTCCCTTTGCGAAATAATAAACCCTCTCTGCGCCCAGTGTATCCCAATATTGCATAATGAATACAATGTTGTGTAATAAATTTTATATGTATTCTATTTTCGATACGAAAAATAAGAGCGTAAAGTGGGACGAAAAAAATGCTAAGTAAAAAGAAAAATAATTATTATAATCTCTCCAATAGCCAGAGGTTCGATGCAAGTTTTTTTCTTATAAACAGTGAAATGTGCATATTTTTCATTATTATCAACGACCTCTAAAAAATTCATGTCGACAAGGCACTGTCGACAAATTCATGTCGATGCGCAAACGGTGGATATAAGCATTTTCACGAAATTCAATCAATCAATCATATTTTTATACATTTTTGACATCTCTTTTTTTTCCTTTTCAGGCAACAATGAACGGACCAGTTTATGCGTCATCCTGTCCCGCATTGCAATCGAATCTCTCGCTGCACAGCTCATCCTATTACAGCGAGTATAGCGGCACTACACGAAGACGGCTATCTTCGACAGGCGAAGCGGACACTTCCGCCACATCGAGTTACGAGGGTAGCGACAGCTCCGAAAACAGCGATGAATCGCGTCTCGATCCCGTCAGTCAGGTGGAACGAGAACAACTTGAGACTTTCTTTCGCGGATTAAAGTCGCAGGTAAGCTTCAAGAATTAAATTATATACGCATTAATAAATGTTATAATTAATTAAGTTGAGATTCATAAAAATGTGAAAATAAAATGAGCAAGGTATATATCTGAAATGATGCACTAAACTTTAGGAGCGTATTTTAGAGATTAAAATAAAACTTTTTTTTCCTATGAACATGGTCCGCAAATGAACCTTTTCACCGAGCTAAAATTCGAATGTGTGAAATTGACCAAACACTCTAAACGCAAATTTATTTATCTCTCAAAAGAGGGTGATAGGTAACGTCAATACTTTTTTTCTGAAATACAGCCATATTTTAATTTTTTCCCCAAACTTTAGGGGCTTCTAATTCGGAGGGGGGTTCATTTGCGGACCCATGTTCATAGGGAAAAAAAGTTTTATTTTGATCTCTATGCTCCTAAAGTTTAGTGCATTATTTCAGGTACATCCTGTATAAACTAATAAATGAGCACGTATATATTATTTTTAAGAGATATATAGAAACAATAATTTTTTTTGTTAAAAATTTGCGCGATATTTCACAGGTATTCGTCTGCGAATCGCTGGCGAACCTGTATCTCGGCAGCGCCTCTCAGACCGAGAGGTGGGAGCTTCGTTTCACCGGGATACCCGTGGTGGTTCTCGATCTCGGCGAGACACGATCAAGATCCAAGAGACGGATTCAAATCTTACTGGCAGAACGCGGTACTTGCTTCACTCTCTGGCGCGAGACTATCGACAACCTCTCATCATACAAAGTAAGTAGTCAAGTTATGTATATCCACGGAATTAACTTTTCAACAGAGAAGAAATTTGAAGATATATCTCCAGTATCTCTCGAAATATAAATTATTGCAAATATATCATTACGTATAATCACCGATAAGCTAGCAACGGTAAATAATGAATATTTAATCTCGGGCTGTGCAACGTTAGACGATGTTAACGAAAGGGCTTCTTGTGTTTATATTCCGCTCAGTAAATTACAAAGCAGCTTGTATTTCAAAAGCCTGGAATACTTAACATCGTTTCAAATTCCTCGCTCGTGCTCGCAACGCAAAATAAAAATGAATTCGCGCGGTATTTTGAAGGCTAACGAGGTAACTTTCAGCGCGCAAACTGCTCGCGAAAATCGCTATTCGGTGCCACACGTTCCCTTCGTGCCCTTTCGCGCGCATTAAGAGACCTCGAAATGTTCGCAGGTGTCGGGACCCGCTTTTCACACCATGTGTCTCTCGTCGGACCACACTCGTCTGGCTGGGCTTAGCTTCGACAACTCGAAAGCGGCCAACGATCTGTGGCAGCACATAGAGCGTCTCGTCTCCTGCCCGGAGAACATCAGCCTGTCGGTGCCGGGCAAGAAGAAGAAGAAGCCCGTGCAGAAGAAGATCGTGCTGCCGGCCAAGAGCAACATCAGCCAGCCGTGCCAGTTCCAGCACGTGACCAGCGTGGACGCGGCCGACCGGTCGCGTTACTTCTCGCTGCAGACGTTGGTCCCGGCGCTGAGCGAGCTGGAGAATTCGCTGGAGGCGAACTTCTGAGACAAGCCCGACGCCTCCGCCAAGCTCTCCTAGAAACGACGTAGCGCGACGCCCGACTCCCGCCGCCTTCCACCCCGGAAGTGATCTCTCCGGGAAGGAAGGATGCGTATGTGAAGGGAGAACAAGGCGAGGTCCTCGAAAAAGGACTCCGGCGTCGCGAATTTCTGTCTCGAGAGCTGTCGTACGAGAGGCGAACGCTGAAAGACGACACCGCGGATATCCGATCGGAAATCCTTTTGTCTTTTTTGCTCTTCCTTCGGAGTAATTGTAGAGAGAGTCGAGTTAAAGGGAAGGAGGAGATATATCGATAAAGCTTTAACGACGAAGGAAAGGCGGATACATTTTTTTTTCTCAAAGAGCCCTCGCGGTTCCCGTAATTTTACTCGAATTCATCTTTATCTTCTCGTGTGTCCCCCTTCGATATAATCATCCAACTAGTTTGCTAAGAGTTAATGGCGTAAATTAGGGATAAGGTAACGCGCGCTGAATTCCGACTTTACATTATTTTCGTTTTCGGGACCGTTGTCTGAGAAGACAGAAAAGTCGAAAGGAGAGACCTCGAGGAGGCAAAGAAGCGCGAGAGGTGACAGGGAAAGGAGACGTGTCTTACTCGAGATAGACTAATCCGTTAGTGTCGCGTAGTCGTCTCCGGCCAAGGCGAAACATTCATCAATCTTTCTAAGCACTCTCGAGAACGATTGCGATTGATGTCTGCGACTGCGAATCTTGCCTACAGCCCGAGGCGAAACAGAAAGTTCCCCCGAGGGGAACTATCTGAGTCACGTCTCGCTCGTCCCGTTTTACTCTCCTTCTCTTCGATAAGTCCTTTTCCGAATCATGTCTATCAATGTCGTAGATTAACTATGAACGAAAAGAGAGACTATCGAACGTTACGGTTTATTTGCAATGATTATTTCTAATAGATTATTTCACTGTCATTATTATCGCGGGAATATTTGATTAAGCTCTTAATTTAATTCTGAATATAAAATGGAGGAGGAATTGTTCGAAATAAAATTCCGAAAGATTATAATATATGTAAATCATCAAAGTGGAAATAATTCACTTTAATTATCAATAAATTAAATTTGCAAATTTTTTATTTAAAACAAAGGAATAAATATACATATATTACATACGCATTTGTATTTTTTTCTTACTTTGCATGATTCTGTGCATATATTAGTTTCAAATTACCTTAAAGATTTAAATAGGAATGTCCTAATCTCGTAATAAAATGTAATGCGACAGTAGAAACAAGCGCTTTCGCGATAGAATGTCAAAGGCGCGGAACCTTGACACGAAATTAAACAGCGCGCGGTTAGAAGGAATCATGCAAATATATGCGAAACATACTTCCGGGAGCGTCGCATACACATTGTTACTCTATTCATCGTGAAAAGACAAGCTTTCTCTTTGGCGAATGTGAGGGAAACGTACGGTTTATAATTAAAGCCGTACGCTACCGTGCGGTGAAAATGACATCAAGGAGGCTCTCAAAGTGCATTATGCACTGTTAATAATTAGCAATGAAACCGTCGTTACGACGGAGCTAAATTTAATGCCTCCCCGACCGCGTTCAGCGGTAAAAAGCCAATAATTTCAGAAGGAAGTACTTAATATGGAGTGGCAATTATCTTTAATTGAAGGAAACCTCTATTTGCTCTGCCATTGTCACTCGGAGAAAAGGACGGGACACATCGCTGATTCAACACTCGTACCGAACAAAAAGATGTAATGCAGTTTTATGTAAATCAGCTCAAAGAGTTAGAATTGTTGTGTGAAATATTATGACCTAGTAATTGAAATAATGTTATATAAAATGTCGGAGAGGAGAACACTTTGTGCGGAACAAAGAATATCAAACAAGAGCCCGCTCTTCGTCAGCTCTAAAGTAGATTGTCAACGTAAGATAATTCATTGACGTCTCTATATAATAGCGGAATCGTAATAAAATGATAAATACATAAGATTGACGCGTCGATAAGCGATGTAGAGGTCGATATATACAAATCAAAACAATATATACTGCCGAAATATATACTACCGAACGTTCGTGCGAGATAAATTGTAAAATTACGAGCGATATCGTATAGAGTACTGGAAACAGACATTGTGCCAAAGTATATGAAATAATAAGAAGTTTAATTAATTGATACTCGAGCAAGATCCGCGCTTCCGTAAGACTTGGAAAGAGCCACAGTCCACAGAGTACACATTTTGTAATTTAGACTATTACAATAAATCCGCATCAGCATTGTTTCCAGTACGCTCGTAACGCTCGCGAACCGATTATACGATGTTAAATGAATTATTAATTAGAAAATTAGTCGGATCGACGTGCATGACATGTCCATGTATAACGAATTTTACTCCCTACCGTTTCGGCTCGTTAATGTGTCCGTAGATTTCGGTAGAAATTCCCGATCTTGTTGTCGACAACTTCTATGCTCGGTAAAATGTTAAAATATCTAGATCGTTATAATTCTGTCCAAGTGAGATAATATAAGAAAATTGATTTCTAAACATTTAATTGAAACATTATATTCTAGTTAAAGTGTCTCATTATCGCAAGATTAAAATTTTAAGATTTCAAGACAGAAGATTTCACAGAGTTTGAATTTCTATGACTTTTCCCGATTATTTTTCATCTTAAATTGCATCTTTTTAAAATTTATGCTGAAATCTTTTTAAATCTTACGCTGAAGTTTTACATTTTTCTCATGTTATTTCACTTGGATCCATAATATAAAGATGGAGACGAGTATTTTCCTTCTGCACAAAGCAGAAAATTGATTTCTCGAGAAAAACGCGCGCGAGAACGTCGTTTAAACGACGTTCGCAAGAAGACTGGTTTCACCATCCCCCGCGTGTCTAGACACAGTTAACAATAAGTACCTACGTAGTAATAGTGATTATTAGAACGATTTGATTTTATTCTTAGAATCAATTGCGCTTCAACTTGTTTGACATTCCTTCAGCGTCATCATCGTTTTTATCAAAGCTTCAAAATTTTCGCTTCATATCCATTGCGAATCAAACCTTTAGTGATTAAGATTAATTAGCATAACAGTATCTCTAAGTTAGATTCGCCCGGAGAAATTTTTTACCGAATTATCGTGAAACAGACGTAATGCTTTAACGCAAGATTTATACGCACACTTTGGTCACGCGAGTCGCAGATTTCTTTCGAGAGAAAATCCGGGTGCGTACATTCTAGACATTTATATAAATAATGTAACTTCGAATTAACGTTAATTTCATTATCTACGACTGTGATATAAACATATGTATTTGTATCGTTACGTTTCCCGTAACATGTATCTGCATTAATCAATCACTTGGAGACATAAGTTTATGAATATATCATATGTAATAATAATTATTATTATTGTGCTAATAAATAGTAACTTCATGAAGCAAAAAATTGCGTGAGTTTACTTACTGCTTTCCAAGTTATCAGTTGGAAAATATAGAAATTTTTTAATACAAGAATATATATAATTCTTTTCCTACCCATATAATTATTAAAACTAATCTAAAATAGTAATCTAAAATAATTAAAAATATATTTCCTTTACATTTGGAAATTATGCATAAAGATCCTTATATTTTTTTATTTTATAATTAATAAGAAATATGTAAGATAAAACAAATAAAAAGAAAATGTAACGTACAAGAAATGAGAATAGTAACATATCATAAACATATAACACTTCGTATATTAATTTTTAATTTAATTCGTATATTAATTTTAAATTTAGTGCACAGCAATTTTTTAAAAACAATTCTTTATGATATTTCGTCAGTAAATATACCATTATTCGGTATAAAACGGAGAGAGACACGAAGGCAACAGTTTCAGCGATCTTGCAGAAACCAACCTTATCGAATGGCGTTCTCTGCGAAAGGATTTGATACTCGAAAATTATTCTTTGATATTCTAGGTACAATAACGCAACATTTTAGCTATTGCCAGTAAAACGTAATGTTTTGGATAAATAAAATAATTAAATAAATTTTCCTGCATATCATTATACCAATAAATGTCAAGCAAAATGAATAGTATCAAGGACTCTTATTCCAATTTATAATCAAGTTTCATTTGTCTTATTGATTCTTTTTTCGTAAAAAATTTATGAATGATTCTCAGCTTGATTCCTAGCTATTGTTACGCGATTTCGAAAGCAGAAATGGAAGAAGATTAATATAATTCCGACAGTTAGTAAGCTAATCCTAATCCTAATTTATTATACAGGCGTAATTCGCTACAAAAAGCAATACTCGCGCAAAGTCGATAAATATCACGGATACGTATATTAACAATATTTCCTTCATATCGCGATGCGCAGCGAATAAATCATGGCTGGCGCGAAATGTATCGCGCTATCTCACCCCGTCGAAAATCGCGATACATATCCGCTGAAAGATCTCGCGCTTTGACGAGTCGTACAGGTGGAGGCTGCCTATGTATCTGGGTGCTCCAGATAGATGCGTCCGATACGAGATCGGCCGGTTGTCGAGCCGAGTCCCGAATCAAGTAATGACAGACCCATCGATGCCGCCTGCGTGCCACGTATCCCGCACTCCTGTGTTTATGGGAGTCATCGGATTTCCATCAAAGAATAATCGCGATCATGTGGGTGGACCTCGAAGAAACGAACGGTGGAGTGGATGGAGACGATATATATGTATTTGCTCTCGTACACGTTCGGGAAAGTGTATCCTTTGACACAGCAAACGGTCCTCAAACGAACGTCAAGTGTGCTCGTAAAAAACGGTAAAGCGACATGGTAACAAATTAACAAGACTTGAAGAGATGGGATATATATATAAGAACGTTCTACCTGTCGGACATAAATTATTTGCCACTCGAAACGCTTGTGTTCCCGACAAATTAGATTCATAAAAACGTTGAAGATATTAAGCTAAGCGTATTTTGTAATCGGCCACAATTGTATTCCCGCGTCAACGTAAGAATTTTATTAATTGAAAACGTTACGTGTAAAACACAGTCACGATTATTTCATTCTATCATTCAGAGATTAAATTTTAATTCTTAGTCGACACAGTTTATGTATGTGGAAAAATGTAATATAAAAACTACAGATCAAATTATGTTTTAAAAAGAATGAAGATAACTAATCGAAGATAAAAATTCGTTTTAAATATTTTTATCTATTAGCGGTTGAAATAAATACTTGTAATAATCACAATTAATTTTAACTTTAGCTCTATTGATGCACTTGCTAATTACCTCTTTCGATATGAAAGAATGGAGTCAACATATTTTTAAAAATTAGAAACACTGTGCTTTGAATTATTTACAGGAATAAAGTCAAACATTCGTCCAAAAAACAGAGCATTTTGTTAAAATTAGTATGTTGTTATTCGAATAACGGACATCGGCAGCAAATAATCTTCGTGAAGCAAATAAATCGCTATATTTTCCGATTTTTACACAAGAACGAGAAAACACGATAATGATAGCCGCAAAGTATATACTTAAAAAATCGCAAAAAATTCCAAGCGCCAGAGATTCCTGGATATTTAGATTTGTAAATGTACATGAAACGGACGATGAGATGGGTTAATGTTGTTAATGTTGCTAATTTCAAAAGTATATATAGGGTTTTACGTCAAAGCGCGCAGCCGTTGAATATGTATGTGGCCCTCATTTACATGATGTTTACGTTTATCGCGCGCTATGCAGCGGCACAATATTCTTAATGTAAGCTCAATTAACGTTGTAAGAGATGCGCCTATTATCGATGTGCATATAAATGGGCATAATTTGTGCGAAAATATATATAAATAGCAATAATGATTCTTAATAAAATGCAATTAATGATTCTCCTAATATTTTTTTAACTATTTAAATTACATTAAAAAAAACTGTCATACTTTTATTATATTACAGAGAGAATTTTTCAATTATATTACGAAAAATCAAACTACAGCTAATTTCTCTCTCTCTTTCTCTTTTTTGTTTTTTTTAATAATATTTAATAATTAAATTTAATAATATTTTTATAAATGCAAAAAAAACTTGAACTTTTAATCACCCTCTTCAAATTTCAATTCGATTATGCTACGTATAATCGTTATCGTATATTAAGATATCCGCGATTACATGTCGCAAATCGATTATCGCACTAAATAGGACACTCGCGTTTTACATGATCGTGAAGAAAGAAAGGAGGCTCGTTTACCCACAATTTGCAATTCTAAAGCGCATTTCGTCACTTGGTCCAAAGTTTCTGGCTCGCGGTTTATCGACGCGAGATGAGTTTGGGCTTCGGCTCGATCATGCGGTGCGATCGATTAGCGCCTTGCTCGAGGAACAAACGGGACGGCTAATTATTCGTCGACGAGGCGCGATTGTATGCAAAATCCCGGCCCGGTCGTCGCACCCGGAATCGCGGCGACACTTTCATCGTCGTCGTCGTCGACGCTGTTCGATTCAGTGGCATCGTTCGATTCTCCTCGCCGCAGCCCAAAACCTACATACCTAAAGCGAGACAGCTAGCAGATCGCGCGACGTGAAATCGCATTAACATTCTTATCGCGTATGCGACCAAGCCGGCTTTGTCGCCAACGTCTGCGTGCATAGCGAAAGTAAGGACAAAGTGATATCGAATGTTCCCGTTTACAAGATATTGAATTTGGAGATATTATACGCCATTTAAATTCCAACCCTGTATGAATATGCGTATGAGTCGCGAGAAAATTTTATTTTTTCCTGTACTATTAACATCCTTGATATTGCAGAATTGATAAAATTATATTTTCTTTCAATCCATACATTTATTACAAGCAAATAAATCATTTTATATCGTATGTATAAATTGAAATAGAATAATTTTACGGTATAAAATAAAATAATTTTATATCGTATGTATAAATTGTTCGACATATGTGTTCGAATTTTTTCGCGAGAAACGATAAGATATTCAGATTCGAGTCTGAATCTTTCGTCGAAAAAGGTGAATTTTCAGCAGTCTTCGATTCTCGATTCATCGCGGAAAACGTCGATCTCGCGCGATGGGACTGTAAATCGCTTGCGACTGTTAATCTCGCGGTTCAATCTACGATCTCGATATTTAGGAAGCTGATTCGTCGCCACAGTAGATCCCGTCTTGATTTACGATCCGCGATTCTCCTATCTCATCGGGAAAAATTCGCGATCGCGAGCGTGAAATGCGCGGAATTTTGTGAAATTTGTCGTCGCGTGGAATGTGCACGTGGATGCATGTAAAACGCCTTGCAAAGTGACGACGGACGCGTGCGGATCACGCAGCGAGAAAACGTGACGGCACGCGTCGACACCTTTCCCATTATTTTCGTATATCTCGTCTCACGACGCGCCTCTTTCGCGTCTCGACGCGTCACTAAAAAGCGAAAGATAAATCGTGCATGGATTATAACGCTCGATAAAATTCACCTCGGCGAAGAGATCACACGGATATTCTTAATCTGATGAATATCTGGATGCTGCTCTTTGCTTTCTTTTTGACACTTGTTGATAATACTATCATTTCTTGGCTTTATAAAGAGACGTATTTTTTTGAGAGGAGGAAAATTTATTGTTATTTGTGAATCATTCTATTTAATTAATTTTGTTATCCAAGTCTGATTATTTATTGAAAAATTAATATTCATTGTATCGCGAAAGACAGTGGATTCTACGCAAATAATACTAATTTATTTCAAAGTTGAGAAGAGGGAGAGAAAATGTATGTGGGAAAAGCAAATGTATAATTGAATCTGCCTCTATTTTAATTAAATGTATAGTTGGAAGATTTATACTGAACATTTTAGAAACATTTCCGGATACAACGAGAGCAAACATTCTCCGGAGACCGACGCTTATTTTGAAACCGAGTCTTCATCATTGCTTAATGGCACAAATGAATAACTTAACGTATAACATCATGTGTGTATGTATATATATATATATATATATATATATATATATATATATATCGTAGCGAAGTCTTATAATCCTGCCAAACCAAATGCATTGCTGGCTCTTGGCAAACCTAATATTAAGCTTCTCCAGCGGAGCAGATTCTTGAAACGACGTATAATCTCATCCAGCTTCTAATTACGTTGATATAATGCGCGTATAATAAAGTCAGTTGCTCGAAAAGCTACATCGAAAGACAAATTAAACGCGGCTGAAATATTTCACGTAATTTAGATTATGCTAACGAAGACTTTTCTGTGCGTTTCAAGATTAATGAGAATTGATACATCAAATATGAAGAGCTATATAAGAAGGAATAAATTGATAGATAAAGAGAGAAATATTTAAAGAGAAAGAGGGAAAGGGGAAGAGAGAGCGAACAGCGCTTAGTCTTCTCCAAATTATTCGAGAAGAGCTCTTAAAAATTCAAGCTGCCAAAGCATTCAGGAAAGCATCGC